GATGGCAGCACGCCCATCTGGCCTATCAGACACTCCTCCAGCTTTGTGTCATCTGCAAACTTGCTGAGGGTTCGCTCTACCCTGTCATCCAGATCACTGTTAAGCAGGACTGGACCCAGTCAGGACCACTGGGATACACTGCTAGTTACTGGCCTCCAACTAGACTTTCTGCCACTGATGATGACCCTCTGGGCCTGGCTGTTCAGCCAGTTTTCAGGCCACTTCACTGTCTGCTCATCCAGCCTCTGCATCAACAGCTGGCCTATGAGGATTTTATGGGAGACAGTATCAAAGACCTTACTGAAGTCCAGGTAGACAACTAGCCACTGCTGTCCCCTCATCTACCAGGCCTTCCCAGGGACTGTGATGAGACTGACAGACCTTTAGTTCCCTGGGTCCTTCTTGAAGTGGCATTTGCTTTCCTCCAGTCTTCAGTCACTTCTCCCAGTTGCCGTGATTGATCAAAGGTTATAGAAAGTGGCCTTGCAGTATCATCTACCAGCTCCCTTGGCACTCATGGGTGGATCCCCTCAGGGCCCATAGACTTATAATTGTCCGATTTGCTTAACTGTTCACTAACCTTATCCTCATCTTCCTTATTCTAGCCTTTCCCCCTGCTCTGTGAGACCTGGGACTCCGGAAAGCCAGACTTGCTTGTAAAGACTGAGGCAAAGAAGGCATTAAGTACCTCGGGCTCTTACATGTCCTGTGTAACCGTGTTCTCTGTCTCATTCAGCAATGAGCCCACATTTTTCCCTAGTCTTCCTTTTGTCACCACTCATAGAATAGTTTCGGTTGGAAGGGACCTTTAAGCGTCATCTAGTCCAACCCCCCTGCAACAAGCAGGGACATCTACCACTAGATCAGGTTGCTCAGAGCCCCATCCCACCTGACCTTCAATGTTTCCAGGGATGGAGCATTTGCCACCTCTCCAGGCAACCTCTTCCAGTGCTTTACTGCCCTCACTGAGAAAGATTTTGTCCTTGTATCTAGTCTGAATCTACCCTCTTTTAGTTTAAAACAATTACCCCTTATCCTATTGCAACAGGCCCTGCTAAAAAGCCCGTCCCCATCTTTCTTATTGGCCCCCTTTAAGTATGAAAGGCTGCAATAAGATCTCCCCACAGCCCTGTCCAGGCTGAACAGCCCCAACTCTCTCAGCCTTCCCTCAGGAAAGGTGCTCCATCCCTCTGATCATTTTTGTGGCCCTCCTCTGGACCCCCTCCAACAGGTCCCTGTCTTTTCTGTGCTGAGGGCCCCAGAGCTGGACGCGGGACTCCAGGTGGGGTCTCACCAGAGTGGCAGAATCACCTCCCTCAACCTGCTGGCCATGCTTCTCTTGATGCAGCCCAGGATACTGTTGGCCTTCTGGGCTACGAGCACACATTGCCAGCTCATGCCTGACTTTTCATCCACCAGTACCCCCAAGACCTACTCAGCAGGGCTGCTCTCAATCCCTTCATCCCCCAGCCTTTGTTGATACCTGGGGTTTCCCTGACCCAGGTGCAGGACCTTTAACTTGGCCTTGTTGAACCTCATGAGGTTCACATGAGCCTGCTTCCCAAGCTTGTCCAGGTGCCTCTGGATGGTGTCCCAACCCTCATGCGTGTCAACCACACCACTCAGCTTGGTGTCATCTGTAAACTTGCTGAGGGTGCACTCGATCCCGCTGTCTAGGTCATTGATGAAGATATTAGACAGCACTGGTCCCAATATGGGCCCCTGGGGGACATCTCCATCTGGACATTGAGCCGTTGACAACTACCCTCTGACTACCCTCTGGATGCGACCATCCAACCAATTCCACCAAGCAGTCCACCCATCAAATCCTTGCCTCTCCAATTTAAAAAGAGAAGGATGTTGTGGGGGACCATGTCAAAGGCATTACAGACATCCAGATAGACGACGTGCTTAGCTCTTCCCTTGTCCACTGATGTAGTCACTCCATCATAGATGGCCACAACTTTGGTCAGGCAGGACTTGCCCTTGGTGAAGCCATGCTGGAGTGCCTCAGATCACCTCCCTGTCCTCCATGTGTCTTAGCATGGCTTCTAGGAAGGTCTGTTCCATGATCATCCCAGGCACAGAGGCAAGGCTGACAGGTTGGTAGTTGCCACAGTCCTCCTTTCCAGCCTTTTTAAAAATGGGCACAATGTTTCCCTTTTTCCAGTCACTGGGGACTTTATCTGACTGCAGTGACTTTTCAAATACTATGGAGTTGATTTGGCAAATGGATTTCTTCCAAAAATGTATTGACATTACATGAAAATGAGAAAAATCACCTTCAGTAATTAATGTTTTCTTGCTATAAACGTGTAAAGAACTCCTACCATGCTGAAAAAAAAGCACTGTCACTTAATACCAAGCACTTGCACAAGTCTCTGTAAGGTGTGTAGTCATTAGATGCAGTCTAGGCAGGTTACTAGTAGTAATGTCATGGCTTTCTATTCCACTTTGTTGGATTATTCTATTCCAATAGCTGAGGAACTACCTCAGCCAATTCCTTCAGGACTCTGGGATGCATCTTGTCAGGTCCCATAGTCTTTTGTGTGTTCAGGTTCCTCAGGTGGTCTCAAATATGATCTTCTCTTCCAGTGGGAGGGACTTTGCTCCCACAGTCCCCATCTTGTGGTCTATCCACTGTGTACTTACAGACTTCTTGTCTTTGACATCCCTGGACAGATTTAATTCCATTTGGGCTTTAGCTTTCTTAGCGTTGTCCCTGGATGCTTGGACAATGTTTTGTATTACTTCCAGGTTACCCATCCTTACTTCTACCTTCTGTGCACTTCCTTTTTGTGTTTGAGTTTGGACAGGAGCTTGTTCATCCAGTCAGGCCTCCTGGCATTTTTGCCTGACTTCCTATTCATTGGGATGGAAATCTCTTGAGTTTAGAGGAGCTGATCCTTCAGTATTAACCAGCTTTTTTGGGCCTCTCTTCCTGTCAAGGCCTTATTCCGTGGGACTCTCCAAGTAGTTCTTGAAAAGACCAGATCTGTTCTCCTGAAGTCCAGTGTTGTGAGCTTGCTTGCCACCCTCTCCCCTGCCTTCAGGATCCTGAACTCCACCATCTCATGGTCACTGCAGCTGAGGCTGTGTTAAACTTCTGCATCTCCAGTGGGCCTCTCCTTGCTTGGTGAGTATGAGGTCCAGCAGAGCACCTCTCTTTGTTGGCTACTCTAATGACTTGGAGGAGGACGTCGTCGTTGAAGTACTGCAGGACCCTGTGGGATTGCTTATGTCCTTTTGTGTTGTTCCTCCGGCAGATATCGGGGTGGTGGAAGTCCCCCATGAAGACCAGGGCCTGCAAACATGAGGCCGCTCCTCTCTGTCTGTAAAGGGCCTCATCTGCTTGTTCTTCCTGTTCCGGCGGTCTGTAGCAGACCCCCGTTTTAATGTCACCTGTACCTCTCCTCTCTTTAATGCTAACCCAGAAGCTCTCAGTTGGCTCCTTACCGCTCCCCAGGCAGAGCTCCATGCACTCCAGCTGCTCTCACATAAAGGGAATGGATTTCTGGTCTTGTTAATTACCATTTTTGTATAGATTGTTTTTAGGTTCCTGTATGGAAAATGGGACAGTCCCAGGATGCACGTTGTGAGAGATGAGCGTACAATACAGCTTCATCAAAATCAAGCTTCCTCATTCTGTGCCAAACACTCATATTTTTTTGGTGACTCGATCCTTTTTCTTGTTTTTTTTGTTTTTTTTTTCCCCTGAGCTCCAGGAATTATTCTTCGCTACTCTCAGTGCACGAATAATTTTGAGGCAGAGAAATTACATATTACACAAAGAATAGATTGATGGTAGTCTACTAGTGTGCTGAACTGTAAAGGAGTTGAGATTTAAAAACACATATGCAGAATATATTTTTATTTATTTTGGTCAGAAACTTTTTTTCACCAGCTGTTCCTATTTAAAGACTGCTTAACTACCGTTACCAATAGTGTCAAGTAATTTTTTATATATTTAAAAGTTTTTGCTGTTGTGTTCAGTTTGATACATCTTTCGTGTATTTTGTGTTTGTACAGCCAGCTTTTCTGACCATTTTGTTTATATTCTTTATCGTGCATTTTTATTGGTTAGGGTTATTATATGTGTTACTGCGTACAAGTAGATGATCTTTGCTTGATTATAATGTTTAATCTTTTACAAAATTTTCTTCTAATTGATATCCTTATTAGTCCTTTTAATAGTCTGTGACAGGAAACCTGAGAAATAGTGCAGTTTCTTTCAATCATCTTCCCAATGGTATAAAAACGTGAACTAAGTTACTCAATTTACATGCACTTAGGGGAATTTTCTTACTGAATATTCCAGTGTTTTGTGTTGACGTGAAAAGTATTCCAGAAATGTAGAACTGAAGGGAAGGATAGTTTCTGGAGAGGAAAGGACCATTGTTAGCTCAGTGTTGTTTCCATGAGTCCCACAGGCAAATCTGCTTTGACTTGCTGAATGTTTTTGTATAGAATTGTGGAAGTAACTATAATGTTTTAGTAATGAAAACTAAGATACTGATGAGTTATTTAGAAAGTGTGACTCCAAGAGAGGGCTGTGCACACAGGAACAAGCATCAGGAAAGCAAGTGGAAGAAGCTTAGTGGAAATCTAAAATCTGTGCATCCATGAAAACTCAGTCACTTGCATCTGCTATAAACTTTGCCCAGTAAATTCTGTTTAACAAAATCTTACAAAGAATCCTTTTAAAAGTATGAAGCTGCAGCTCTGTATGTACAAATTATATAAGAAACAAGAATTTCTCTAGAATGATTTATACTGTGATTGACAATGATTGATTGCAGAGCTTTTTGCTGTATTGCAGATTTTTAACTCAAATCGGAATTTCTTGTTGATGTGTCAGCACAAATACATGAGATGTTTAGATGAAAATAGCTGTCTAATAAAATTCCGTGTGGCAACTTGTTACTTTAAGAGATTCCTGGGAATAAAGAAAATGATGTATTGGTTATATACTTACTGTTTTTGTTTCATTTTTTCAGGTACCAAGTGGAAGATGAGTCCTCTCATTTGGATGAAATGCCACTAATGATGTCAGAAGAAGGTTTTGAAAATGATGAGAGTGATTACCATACTCTACCAAGAGCCAGAATTTCTCAGAGAAGAAGAGGCTTAGAATGGTTTATCTGTGGTGGCTGGAAATTCCTTTGCACTAGGTTTGTTGAATACCAGTACTTTTTATTAAACTGTTAAATTAAGTAAATAGTAACTGTGTATTGTGTGATATGTGCAGAATATGGGAACACAATCATTTGCTTGACATGCACCTTTTTGATTGCTTTGCCTGCATTTTCCCTACTAGGACATTACCAGCCATTAACAAAAAAAAGTTCTGAAGAACTGCTGCTGCATACTTCTCCTGTCTGCTGTGCTGACTGGCAAGAAAAAGAAGGCTTTTAAGAGAGACCATGTACTAAACTTGTACTAGTCTGAGGTCCATAAAATGACATATTGGCGTGGTCCTCACTTCCACTCAAAACCACACCAGGGTAGGGGGGTTAAAACTTTCTGTTACATTTGAGAGTGTTAGTGTGTTAAGTTGGCAATATATAAATTTTATTGATGTTGCTGGAAAGAAAAAGCAAATTCATGAACTAATGATTAGTTAACACTTCAAATGTAAGGGTTAAAGAATACTTGTAACTGGTGGCCTTGGAGTGAGTACAGCTGGAATTAGCTCTTGTGATTAGGTTCTTATTTAGAAACTTCTTATGCTAAACTCTGCTGTATTCAGTTGCCTTGGAATAGTAACTTTCTAATGAACTTCTAGCAAATTTCTAAGTACAGAAATTTCTATTAGGATGATTAAGAATCATGGAATTTTTTTTATCTTGAAGGATAAAATCTGAGAATCAGTCAAATGAAGTGAGTGGAGCATCTTCAGTGAACTTAAATGATGAATGGTTTTTTTGACCGATGATTTTAGAATAGATTTAGATAGAAGTCTTCACCAGTAGTTTTCATGGAACTTAGTAAATTCCAAGAGGCCTGATACTGTTGTTTTCCATAAGCAAAGCATTATTTGTGCACTTTTCATTTAGAAATAATTTTGTTATGTGGCTTTATTATTTGCAGAAAAATATAATCTGTGCTGATGTTTTTTTTCTATAGTGATTTAATGAAAACTCATTAGATTATTAATTGTACTATAGGGAATAAGTGTTTGGAAAGTAGCAGGAAGGAAGTAAGGTAGCAAAGTTTGCAGAATCTGTGTTTGTACTCGCAAATGATTTTTGGAAACAATGTGTCTGTTACAGAACTACACTGTAGTTTTTAAAAAAAACATTTTTAAGTATTTAAAGAAACTGTTAGTCTCGGACATGTCTTAAAATTGAGATACCTTTCAAACAATACACGTTGAATGAGTTCAGCTCTAAGTATCAGTGAGTATCTAGTTACTGTGATTACATTCCTGTAAGATTCATGAGAACAGGTAGACCAGTAAAGGCTGCGTCCTGTAGTTGCCCTGGCAGAGAATTTACAGTGTTTTGATACAGGCAGGAAACTGTAAGATGAGTTTATGTTGGAACTAGTTAACGATTGTAAGAGAATGTCACAAGAAAGTGTCTTTAATGCTGAGGATTGCAAAATTTCATGTTCTTGCTTTTTAAAATTGATAGGTACATCTCAGCTTTAAGTGGAGCTCAAGCCTAGAATCTTTCCAACATATTAGAACTTCTTAATGAAAATATTCGAGCGATATTTTTGATGGATTTCTGAGAATGAAAAGAGCAAGGAAATTGCATTATGTATTCGTTATTTTGCTATGTCTTGTACGTATTTTACTGCTAATGTAGGTGTATAAAGGAGGCCTTAGAAGAGTATGGCTTCTGCTTTGCTGATTTCCTCAAATGAATTGGGATACAATAAAGAGTCCATTCAGTCTTGTATTTATACCTAGAGGCACTTTGATCACAGTAGTGTTTTCTATAACAGAACATCATAGCAGATAATTTACATTTTTCATGGAAAAACAATCCCTGTTTAAAAAAAAAAAAGAAAGATGACTCAGATCCTAGCAGAAGCTTGAAATTTCAGTAGGATATTAGCAGGCAGAGGATACTCCCACAAGAAAGTTGCAAACATCTGCTTAGATGATATGGGTAAAATTAGCTGGAAGGAAGTGAATCCTATAGTATCTTATTTACTGGTCCAGTCAGCTTGGGTGAGCGATGCTGAGTGACTATCTAAATACCCGTTATAGCGATAGGGAAGTTTCTTCTGGGCTGAGAGCACGATTGAGGCTTTGTTACTCCTAGAAGTCAGGGATGTGCAGTCAGTGTTAAGTTACTCATTTTGATGGTTTCTGATTACAATAAAACTTCGTGACTTTTTGCTGGGGCCCACAGAATCCTAGGTTTTTTGAAATGCTGATTTGCTGTTCATGAAGCTGCCTAGGATCATGCAAAAGACCATACAGGAAACCTGGAGACTACTGCATTGTCATACATACAATTATTATTTACACTGTCTAGTAGAATGAGTTACACTGTTTTTATGTGGTGTAAAGTATCAGTCTGGGATAGAACTGGGTGTTGATGCCTTCACACAGAGAGAGAGGAACATGTGAGAAAACAATTTTCATGTATGTTGATGGTGGATTAGACATGTTATGCACACAACTGAAATTTATTTGCAGAAGGTAAACTGCCTTCTTTTAAGTGTAATGTAAGGTTAAAAACAGCATAGCAGTCTGAAACATGTTTTAGTTGAACAGAATTTAAAATTTCACCCTGGTTTTATGGAAATCAGTATCTCATACCTGAGACTGGGTGAGGTTGAAATCTCAACTTCCACATCCAGAATTTCCTTTAGTGCTTTAAACTAAATTGTAAGTTTTTCAAAGCTGTGACAGGAAGTTGAATACAATAAAAGACTGGAGCAGAGCTCAGGGGGCCCCTGATTTCTTTTGGGTTCTCAGTGAAAGTCTTCTGTTTGTGTTCGAAATCACTTGTTGCAAACAAACAAAAACCATCATACTTGCTGGTTTGTTTTTTTTTCTGTCTGTCTTGCATTATTAGGATTAATCTCATTTTTGTGAGAGGAAGTTTTATGTGTCTTACTTTGCAGCTTTAGAAATTTATGTTGTACGGATTTTTTTTTTCCTACATCACAGTCAGTTACTGTTTAGTTGAAACAATTTCACCCTTTTGGCAGGAGCAAATATGGAAGGTTTGACAAAGTTCACTGTACATTAAAATTTATTTTGTAAAAATCCTTTATTCGGCTTTTAACTTCTGTTTAGACAATAGACGTGTTGATCAGAACTGAATAGTGTGAACTTTATTTGCAAATCTGCAGCTCTTTAAACAGTTTTTACACTTGCAAGAAAAAAATCATAATTAAATGTTGTCTTTGATTTTGAACAAATTGAAGACTTAATTCAACCAGTATAACTTTTAACTTCAGAAACTGCTTGTTTCTTGCTTTCATAGCACAGTTAAAAGAAAACTTTGTGATATAGCAGCTGTTTTGTGGCTGTAATCATTTCCTCTTTATCTTACAAATTCTCTTCAAGCTCGTGAAATTATAATGCACATAGATCAATACTCTGGAGTTCTTTGGGCTGGATTGATTTCTTTCTCATGAGATTTACATTCCACTTGTTATCAAAAAACACTTTGTCCCTATGAAAATGGTGCCATTGAATGGTATTTCCATATGAAGTGAAGGGGATATCAAATGCTGGGATTAATTTGGGCTCTAAGATGGCCTGTACGCTTTCAATTAATCTGCAATGCATTTGTTATGCAGAAGCATGGGAAAATGCTGATCTTTTAAGAATGACATGACCACTGTGTTGCTTTTGGCCTGATTACTGAAGCTACCTGTTGAGTACAATAATTACAGTATGTTTTCTTTGCAGAACTAGTTTCTGCTACTTAAAACCTAATAAGGAAAAGCTGACCCTTGCAGACAATATAGAGCTTTTATATTATCTTTCCATTCTGATGAAAATGCTGTTTTGTGAAAGATACTGGCAATTAAGCTTGTAGGATAAAAGTAATGAAAAGAGAAAATTAAAAAAGCCTTTATTATTAGAGCTGCAGAGTCAGTGGAGACTTTTACTTTAGCTTTTGACTTGGAGAGATACGCTCTATTTGTGAAAAAGTGAAGGGTTCTTATTTAACAATTACTCCAGGTTGGTTTTCTTTAATATGGCATCAGTTACTGATATGAAGACTGTGGTGGTTGTTCCTTCAAATAAAAAAAAGGTACATTAGGAAGCAGGTTGGTAAAAAGCCGTTTCATAAATACACCTTAAAGTTATTTTGTTGATTACTTCATTACTTCATATATACAATCTGTTGTACTGATACAGGCAACATGGCTTATAGCTAGCTTAGGAAAAAAGCTTTCTGTGCATGTGTTGAATTTTGTAGGCAAGGGCATTTGAAATAGATGCTTAAACAAGCAGTAAACAAGAATGTGATTTTTAATTGTTGAATCCATAGCATAAAGTATGGTTTTACTTTAAACATTTTGGGAAAATCTAAAGTGTGTCTTGCTCATACTACACCTTACATTATGTTTTTAGGATCTCTTTGAAGCTTGGAGAATGCTGTTCTTATTTATCTCCTAATATTTGTTTCACACAAATTTAGTGGGTGCAAAAAGCCCATGAAAGGGTCCATACCCTTGTACAAAAATAGTTTCTGTATTGGGGAATGTTAATTTGCGAACAGATTAAGTGTGTGTTGGGTGTTGATAATAGAAGTTTCGAAAATATCAGGTAGACTTCATTGTTTTTAAAAATCTGGATTAATATAAATTGATTAGGATGTCTAAAGCCAGCATGTCTACCTTATGTTCTTCCTGTGATATACCAGTGATTACTGCTGAGACTGTAAATGGCAGAACCTAACTGATTTTTACTTTTAAGGTAGTAAAACTCATCTGGACCATTACCATACTGATTTGGGCATAACCTGTAATATTTCTATCATCTGAGATTTTCTTGCGTCCTAGAACTTGAGTGTTGTTAGCTCTGTGTCAGTCAAATCCCTTTTATCAAAGGTATCACAGTTGTTGCCCAGTCAGGCATCATTCTTGTGTCTGTGCTTTTTGGCATTTGCTAAACTAATGGTCACTGTGGCATCTGTCTCAGCTTCTCTGTCAATCTGTGATGGAAAAAGTAGTTTTAAGAAGGGGAAGC